TCTTACGTTTTATCCAGAAAACGATGCCAATGTTTTGTATATGACAAGCATCTTTTCATTTCAATAACCAGTCGGAGAACCGCGTGTTCCGAAAATAATATGTATCAATTGTCCTGCAGTTCTTCAAAGGGCTTTTTTTTTTCTCAAAAACTAAAGGCCTCTCAAAGGAAAATTTTTTGACATTGAAGAGACAAAAATATGACATCCTACTTTAGAGGCATTGAAAAAATCTCTACAAACCTTCTCTTCCATTACATGTTGTCAGACAAAAAGTTACATCAGCGTAAATTCATAATCTATTTTATTACACTCTGATTACTTTACTAACATACAGTGAATATATACTAAATCTTTTACTTAGCTTAAGTAATTCGGAATTTTTGACGGAATTGTTGTCGGAACTAGGACTTAGAAGATAAGTCAAATTAATATTTCGATAATCCAATAATTCAAGTTCGAAATTTTCAATATTTTATTTTCGGAGGGAGGGGAAATTTTTCAGTTTTGGCCATTATCCTAAGTAGATTTGCTTTGATTCTTTTATTTTTCCATAAAAGCGAAAAATTTACGCATGGTATACATATAACGCATAGCTTCAAATTAAAATTTAATATATACGAGTGGTTATAATTAAAGTTCCACATTGAAACGGTCATAAAAGAAAACTACTGGATCAATGTTATCAAACTTGGTAATCGTGTAAAGGGGGTCATGGGAATTTATTTTCCGCGAAAAAAGGAAGTTTGAAACCTCACCACCAGGGAAAATGGCGCTGTATGCAATATTGTTAAACGAAATATGGGTCGGATCTAACTTAACCTTTGTTAAACGGGTTTATATGTTGTATACCCTTAAGAAACTTTGAAGTAGGCAAATTACCATTTAAAAAGTTTTTCGAAAGCGAGTGCGCCATCAGTGTAAGTGAGAATTCGTCCGTGAAAACCACGAATTAGCGATTAGAAAATGTGAGATCGCAAATCACTCCACAAGTGCGTACAATCTGGAACTCTTTTCTTACAGATCGCTAATTGTAACTTTTTTAAGCCTGAATTCGGCACTAAAACATGAAGATACTGATTCAAACGCTTTTAATCGATTTGGGCAAAGAAATCTCTCATGTTATCTATCTAGTTCCATTGGCATTCTCCTACTGCATTCGATTGCATAGCAGTCATTCCACAACCCGTTTAGTGTTGAATGACAGCTAGTTTATAACTGAACCATTTTTTCTCTGAAGAGCATCGCAGCTGGACCACTGTGATTGCAGCTCACTTAGAGTCAATGTTAAAATGTTTCGTGATACATGAACTGCAGTAACGTGGCATTTTAGATACTACGATTTTTATGCAGGGCTGGGCCCCACCTCACGTGTTTCGCACAGTTTACTTAGGCAACATTTCACGAATGAACGTCTTATAGGCCACACTTCCTCTTCCACCAGACCTCAACCTCTGTGACTTTTTGTCTATGGGTTATCTCAAAGCACTGTTTATGGTGATAATCTAAACAATTTGCAGAATGAAAATGTGATACTGACATTAACTTTCTGAAATTCAGAGCGCTGTCGAATGCAGTAACAGGATTTTAACTTGCTTCGGAAAAATGCACGGACATGAAACTGCTTTGTAACAATTTTCGGAAATATTAAACCATTTTAAAGATGTTTTCATGTCTTATTTCATTTAACAATTTGTATACAGCGCCATTTTTCCCTGGTGGTGAGTTTTTGAACTCTTTTTTTTTCCCGCGGAAAATAAATTCCCATAACCTCCTTTACACGATTCCCAAGTTTGAAACATTTGGTCCGGTAGTTTTCCTTTTATGACCATTTTCAAATGGAACTTTAATTATAACCCCATAAATTAAACTTTAAAAGTTGACAGTTTGGTTCAAGTCCCAGCTTTAAAAAATATATATATAAATAAATTTTTATTTAATCATCTTAGAAAGATGTTTTAAGAAGCTAATTTTTCTCTCGCGTTATAGATTGTATAAAAAACATGATCTTTAATATGATTTAGATTGTTTCAGCCGATATAAGAATCGGGTTACTCGGTGGTACAGAATAACCCTGCTGGACTGTTTTATTTCTTTGTCATTTAGCAAAAATTTTTAATTAAAATATTTATCCTTTGGACTTCGCTCTTATAACTTTATTTATAGTTAAAATGACTAGAAAATGAAAAGCTGTCTTCAGCTGAAACAATTCATGCAATTGATATTTTAAAAAATTGACAAGAATGCAAAATTTGGAATCTAGGAATCGAAAATCTTAATTTTCTTTGTGTGAAGCACTGAAAATAACTGTAGAAGGAAGAAGAAATTAGGGAGAAAAGTAAGCAAAATTTGCAGGGAAATTTGCTGTCAGACCAAGATGTTTCAAAAAGTTGGACGCTTTTGAATATACTTTCAGGATACTTCAAAGAATTTAGGTGTTCAAAGAGAAAACACTTGGACGTGTACACCAGCAAATACCATCAATTGAGCTTGTGTTAACAGAAAAGACAAAACGATATCATTGCAGATTAAAGTGAAGAGCGACTGGTTTTTAGACTATAATGGTTGTATAAATTTAAATTACGTTTAGAACATCATATCGTATCATAAATGAGAATCCCATGATTTTCTCAGTCGAATTATTTGAAGATTCAGGAGTTTATCCAGTTGTATGTGGATGTCACCTAAAGATGTTTTTTTTTTCCTTCCTGATGAAACAGCGGCCGAGCGGTAAAGTCGCTGAACACTGGTAGTTCGGTCCGAGGTTCGAATCCCGCGAACGGGCTGGCTGCATGGGCGTTTTCGTGGTTTTCCCCATGTGTAACGTGTATGCGAGCCATTTTCCCTTAGAAAGTCCTCCACGAAGGCATCCCTCCCCTTAGGCAGATAGCCCTAGTGTGCTTTGTCATAATAAAATAAACCAAAACCTCTTGATGAAACCAGTCTTTCTTTCATCTCATCCTTCAAAATGCTTAGTCTCTAAAGACTGAATAAAGGCTCTGACTAAATACTGCTGAAATGGATTGATTTGGATTATTGAGTTACGGCAAAGCAGGGATATCTGCCTAAAAGGAGGTATGCCTTCGTGAAGAACTTTCTAAGGGAAACCAGCTGGCATTATACGGTTACACATGAGAAAGCCCACGAAAACGCCGATACAACCAGCCCGTTCACCGGGATTTGAACCCCGGAGTGACTACCAGTGTTCAGCAACTTTACCACTCGGCCGTTTGTGGGTCCTTTATGAAATGGAAGGCGATACTTTATTTAAAATGTTGTCAGAATACCAAATGTGTGAAAAGTGTGTGATATGGCAATATACCTTGCAGAATGGCTATCTGCCTAAGAAGAAAAATAAATTTTTTCGTAAAATTTAGTATTTATTTTTTTTTTAATTTAAAACTTTTTTAATCTTATGATATTTGATTCTTGGCGATTCAAAAATAAAATATTTGACTAAAATATGAATACATTTTAAGAAACCAATGTAGGATAAAATTGTGTAAAGCAATGGGCACAATGATAAAACTGTTTAAAGCAGTGTATGCAAGTCATCCTAATTAAAATGTCGGTTACATCTCTCTTATTATATATTTTTTCTGAACGGAACATTGAAAGGCGTGTTGTGCTTTACTGTATTTCTCTTTAAATATATGTTTTTCAAACGTCTATCTGGGTTACAAAGTATTCTTCCGAAAAAAAACGCAATTCAAATAAATAAATCAAATTCTGGAAAATTATATTAATAAATATTTAAAATGCTCAGTTCGAAGGAATAAATAGAAAATTTTAAAACAATTATCTGAAGAGACAATGCAACACAAACAATTAAAATAAAAGTATAAAAATTTAAAAATTACCTAAAAATAACTATGACAAAATATATATAAAAAATTATTTGAAAAAAAAAAATAAACGCTGCACCTTTTATTTACGCAATTTGAATAGGTAAATAGAAATTTTTTAAACATTATTCGAAAAAAAAAAATGCAACTTAAACAATTAAAATGAAATTCGAAAAAAAAAATTACTTAAATAATAAGTTATAATTAAAAATATATATAAGAATATTATTTGGAAAAAAGAACGATGGTGGACTTTTTTTCCTCAAAGGAAACTAGGTTGCCATATATTAAGAAGTTCGCCAAGTGAACTATTCTTGGCGCAAACTGAAAAAAAGTGCCAACCTAAATTTTGAATTTCTCCGTAAATTTCGCTCCAAATTTTACAAAATTTATATTAGGGTAATTTGATCGTAGAATCAAATATTAAAAAAATTGGTATTTATTTCAGAAAAAGTCGAGTTTGTGTCAAAATACCTATGTTAGAATAGTGCTATATAAATCTAATATATATCCTAAGTCGCGATTTCGAGACTGAAGAACGCAATTGCATTTTGTCAGCGCCCATAGACGGAGATATAGGACTGTCCCATTTTTTTTTTTTTAGCAGTGTACCAGTCGCCAGCAGGCTCTGCATAGTTTTGGAAATAACCATAAGAATCCTTTGTGAATTTCTTTAACAATGGTATTATCAGGACCTGAACTTTTTTTATTTGCTAGGACTCTGATGATGTTATGCACTTCGTAGTCTGTAGGAAGAGTAATATCTCTGTTGCTGCTTTTCCATACAAATAAATGGTAGACATACTACCACAACCTGCAAGCATACTGTTAGCATACAAATAGGCATATGGTAGTTAGGCATACAATTGGAAGGCATGTATTACAAGTATGAAAACCACTTTTAAACATATTTTTAAACCACCTTTGAAATAAATTTCTGCATGAAACTGGAAACAAAACTGCATACAGCTAATTAAATAATAAAATGTTCATCGACTAATTTATGAAGCTACAGACTCTCTACTTACAACACATGTGATAGCTTTCCTATGGCCTACAAAATCCCTGTTGGCTTTCCATCCATCTCTCTCAATAATCTGAGCAGTAGGCCCAGAATTATTCATGGCATGGGCAGAAACCAAATACCGGCCATCGGGAGACCAGCTCAAACGTAGGACATGTGTCGTACCACCACACTGCAAATTAGAATGCAGTATGATATTACCAATAAAAAACTAAACAAGATTTCAGAAATAAATTAGTTCCTTAGAGGTAATAAAAACTTTTAGTTACAAAAAATTACAAAAAATTGCATTGAAAATAATTATTTTAAAAGATTATTTTAAATCAGGGTTCGTACACATTTCTGCACATGGAATTTAAGGACTTTTAAGGACCATTAATGGAAAAAATTAAGGACCTGTGAGCAAATGGGAACTAAATAAATTCAATTAAAATTATTATCTATGCCTGAACTTCACTTTTGTAATACCATCTTAAAAATAAAATAGATCACAAGTAGGATGCATTATTATTAAATGTAACATAATTAACATATTTATTAATAAGTTTGAGAATAAAATAAACTTTATGAAATTTATGAAGTCGCATTAAATATTTATAATAATTTAACACATATTTGAAAGAAGATAAGCGATATTTTATTTAGGCTTTACTAACAGTTAGCTTTATTTATTTTTTTCCCTCATTTTTGTCACATACTTGCTCAGTCTAGAGGTTTAGAAAACAGTAAGTAGATTTTATGTCAATCGGCACAGGTTAAAATGAGAACTAAATCATAATCAACATGATTCAAAACAAAAGACTGGCTGTTGTCACCACTCCTGCTTTGCTAGAGAGAGACCTGATAATCAGAACAAACCTGAAAGGCTTGATATAAGCATGGTTGGCAAGTTTTGAAAGTTAGCTGGGCTCTTGTCTGAGGAGTTAGTGTCGTAGCTTCGCGCAGAGTTCCAGGGGTTGTAACTCGTTATATACTTCAAGGTTCTAACAGTTCCTAAAGTAACCAGAGGTAAAAGAAGTTTTTTTGCATTATTTTCAGTCTCACTAGCTGCAAAGAAAAGTTTTACATGAATTTTTACATTTTTTGTGTTTTTTCTTGTGCCCCCGATAAGGTTAATGAAGGCAATAACCAGCTTAACAACATAAATAATTTTTAAGTAGCAGTTAGTACAATATTAATAGTTCACAAGAAAATAGGAGTTATACAAATATTCCGTATGTTTATAGGAGTTTATAGAAGTAAAAAACTAGAGAATCTTTGTGATATAAATTAGATTTATATAACCTTATCATTATGGTTTACATGGCCCTATTAAATTTATTTTTTTTTGCACATATTTGTTACAAAGCCTTTAAATCGTAATAATAAAATTTCACAGTTTAAAATTATGTATTATGACATTGTTCTTAAACGTCTTGGATAATACACACATTAAATCTACAACCCTTTATGTTTGTATCAACACACCAAAAACTATTTATTTATCTTTTTAATTTGAAGCCTTCCCATACATTTGCTAATTATAGATTATTCCTCTCTTTAAGCATCTTTCTAACAATTAGAAATTGCCTTAGTATGAAAAAAAAGTCTAATTCTTAGTGTTTATTCTCCTAACCTGTTAACCCTCCACAATGTACCTATGAGGTTTTACTTGATCTGGTAAAAGTTTAATAGTCCAAAACCCCCCAACAATGTGAAGAAATTACGCATTCGAAAGTAACTAAAATTCAGACATGGTTTAATAATTATAGACTTATTACAAGACTGGAGACATAAAGGCTGTTCTATGCTAACAAAGTCAACAGAAAGTCAAATTAAACTAAAAATGGACCATGGTCCAATTTTTTTTTTTAAGCTGGCTCATAACTCTGTCCTCATAACAAATTCAAATGTCGGCAGCGGTAATGCAAAGACGAATAATTACAAATTATAAGAGCTGGCAGGAACTAATACAGGGAAGAAGTGGAGGTCAGAAGTACACTCTTCAAGAACTTCAGTTTAACTGTCTAAGTGATTTCCATTCTGGTGAGAAAATAGAAATGGGAAATTATAGCAAAGGCTGAAATTGTAACCAACTGGGTAATTTACATAATAATAACGGTGCCCATCTTTGAAAAACAATTTTCTTTTTCTTTATGTATTCGGTTTCTTTCTTCCCCGTTTCCTTTTCATTTTAGAATTTTTGGATTTAAATAAAGATTTCTGTTATTCTAAAAAAACTAAATGCATTTAGAATATACAGAAAAAGCTGCTAATTTTATTTCTCTAGTAATGAAAATTTAGAAGACTTAAATATTATGTAAGGTCTGTTACAGGCGCTGTGTGCATATTTTTAGATTTTACATATACGAGCAACAAATCTAGAATCCAAAACTTTAGAATTTAGAACAGGCATTGAGCAAATCAGAAGGCACCAAGCAGCAGAATTTAGATCCACGAATTGCATCAGTGGGAAAATGCCTATGCCAGCCCTGTGTATGATGCATTAAGACATTTAGATGAATCTTTTAATGTCAGTTTTCGTTTTCTTTATTATAAAAAACTTCTTTTATATATGCCTGTCCACTGAGAGATTAAAGCATTTTCATATTTCCATGCTTGTTCTAGTGAAAGTAGAGAAAATAAAGGCATGAAAAATGTTACTAAAAAAGATTCTAGTATCGAGTAAGAAATTCACTATTAGTTTCTTGTTCTCCTCGCCAGACGTTCTTCAAAATGTCAGAAATCCGTCTTAATCATGAGAGATTTTTCAGTTTGACTCATTTTTCTAAATCTTCTTAGAATCGTGGTCTATGAATCTGCCTCAATCTTTCTAACTTTCAACTGAAGTCTAAAATCCTAAAGAAAAATTACCCTTACCAATTCTGTAACAGCAAAAAGACAGAAATATTTTGAAAAAAAAATCAGAGACAAAAAGTGTAAAACTAATTTTATAGAGAAAACTGATGCATATTCTGAATATTCTTAGACGATTAAATGGGAAAACTCTTACCATGAAAAAAATTAAAAAGGCATTTTAATTAATTACTAGCTATTTTGCTATTACTAAGAACTGTTTCGTAAATTGTGGTGTTATAGCATTATACCTTGAGATTCAAAATATTGTACAATAAGTTGTCAAAATGGGATTTATAATACGACAGCACAAAAAAAAAATGCTTTACTTTAATATTATTTTTGAAATATAATTACAATACATTACCATTATTTTAATTAAATGTATCAATGCTTTGATGTTCTAAAAAAATCGTCAAAAATTCTCTGATCTTGGAATTAAAATTTTTCTACAGAAACTAATCTTAAAATCACCAAAACGTCAATAAGTTGCCAAATTTAGAACCATTTAATAAAAGAACACAAAAAAATTTACATCTCTAAAAGCGAAAAGTTACGAAAACTCTTCATTAGAAAAAATGAAATAATTTCGAAATGCTTATGTTTCACTTATTGCTCAGAAACTCTATTCCACCATTTATATTAGAAATAGGAACAAATTATAACCCATGAACACTATTACCTATTCAAAAAATAGCCATATTTGTCAGCGAACTGCCGAAAATATTCCTCCAAAATGCTAATTCACACTCATAATGAGAGTCATGAAAACAAACAGAAATTTCAGATGATTAAAATTAAGGACCTTCTGCCTATTTTGGTCGAAATTAAGGACTTTTAAGGACCAAAAATTGATTCCAAAAAACTTAAGGACTTTTAAGGACTCTTAAGGGCCGTACGAACCTTGTAAATACTATTTCTTGATAAGCATTGCTATAAAAAAATCCTACTACATATTTCATAAAATTTTCATTTCAAAATATTATAGAAGTATTAACAATTATTTATTAAGTTTTACTGACACAAAAAATACATACAAGCTAGAAATAATTAGACAAAAACATAAAAAAATAACTACATTAATTCCATAATACAAATTCCATATAAAAGAAAAAACAGAATAATCTTCAAGTGATTATTTATTTAATATCAAATAAATGCATCAACAATACACACAGCAAACATAAACTAGCATCTTACTAGAATTTCCAAAGTAATTACCTCAAGAAATGGTTCAGTAATTATAGCTTCTTGTTGCCAGTCATGAGTTCTCCAAACTCGCAATGTTTTATCATCTGACTTAAAATAGCAAAATTAAAATGAGAACATAAATTTTGGTATCAACTACAAAGATTAAAACAAAAAAAAAAAAAACAAAAAAAAAAAAAATACACTTTAAAAAACTGCTTAAAACTGTCATAGAGTTACCTGTGATGCTATATATTTTCCAACAGGATCCCAAGAAACACCTTTAACTAAGCCAGTATGTCCTTTGAGAACAGCAATAATTTCTAAAAAAGAAACAGAAGGCTTGTATTTTCTTAAAGGCATCTTTTTTTAAACAAATGTGTTTAAGCATAACTTTTTATTCTCACGTACCAAGAAGTATATATTTGATAATAAACATGTGATATATATATATTTATATATGTGTGTAGTTTTATGCTGTTTAAACCATAAGAATTATGGTAGTTTTTTATTATTATTATTATTTCAATTTAAAAAATGTTTTCAATAACATCCTTAACTAATATACATCCTAAATCATATCATAAATTATCCCTAATCATATTCTAAATCATCGAATATCCTGCTTTCAAGACTAGAAAAAGGTAATTTAAAGTTTCAACTGGCCAATTAATTAGAATAGGAAATGAGAGCTGACACCATACAAACACATAGTCAATACCTTCAAATATAATTTTATTTGTTGCTGTTTATTTCATTCATTACCCTCAGAGATTTTTTGAAAAGCATTTAATTATCACCAATAGTAACACTAAACTTCTCTCCTTTGCTATCTCCCTTTGTTAAGTTTTTCATAGCTCACTTCTGCATGTACATGTAAGTACAGTTATAGTTGTTTATGCTTTGGTAGCATAAACTCACGAGGTCTAGAAAAACTGCAAAGGAATTTCCCTCAGGTCTTTAAAAGTAAGCAAAGTCAGAAGAAAGGTGTAAATAGCCCTTTTATTTGATCACTAAACAGTTAATATTGACCCCACTTGGGTTGACATAAGCCAACATTTCTGGCTTAACTTAAACAAGTAATGTTGAACTTAAAGATGTAATTTTAGACTAGCCTAACAACTCACAGGATAAAATAAATGCGTAGGAAGGCACTAGCTCATTGAAGATGGCAAGATAAGCCTAATGGCTAGAAGCCCTCAAAGACACAGAATCAAATCACTATTTAATCACAGTAATAATGTGGCCTCAAGTAGGCAGAACACATGCTCTAAAATCAACTTGAAAAACCTTGGCTTAAATAGCATATCTTTCTCCCTTAATCTGAATAAACACATGCTCTGGCATGAAAGGCTTGGGTGAAAAGGCGAGCCACGGGAAAGTTGCTGCAACTCAAAATTAACTAATAAATAAATACAAAACTCGAAAAATAAAATCAGTCAAAGTAAATAAATAAATCCTCACAAAGTTTAAAAAATTGAGTATGACAAAGTATTAAATTTGCAATAATCCTTTTACTAAAACATCTAATTTAATTATTTTTTCTTTCCAGCCAAAAAATAGTAACTGCTTATAATAAATCGCCCTAAAACTAAGTCATTTCAAAATTCTAACATAGCTCACTTCACACTAACACAATTAACACTTCAGTTAATCATAATATTCAAATTTATAACTTTCCACATAAACATCTCAAAAATGAATCTCTAACACATTGGCTGCCGAGCGACATTTTCCAAAATGGTTCAATTACGATAACAAATCTAATTAATTAATTGTAAAATAAAAACACAAAACATGTATTAATGGGAAAGTTATTGAATTTTGATAATTTCTAATTGCTTTATTAATTATACAAGTTATATCATAGTTGGTTTTTGCAATAAAATGTTTTATGATAGCGCCAACTACGAGTATATTCGTAATGAGTATAATCATAGTTGGCGATTGCTTATAACAAAGACTGACTATTTTTATAGCAATTATTATAAATTGCTTGGTTATTTTTACAGTTCCTATGTTATTTACTTTATAATTACTTATATTAATTATAATAAATCTCTTGAATTATGCCAAATTGTTGTGTTTTTTCTAATCCAAAAGCAGACACCTTCAAAGAACATGAAAACACTACGAGTTTGATCACATGTGGTGTAGGTAAAACAAAAACATTCTACGATTTAGCACATAGCTGGAGCCTAAATATAAGCTTTGACCTTTGAGATAACTTGTGGTTGGCAGCTAATGTGTTAAAGCAATCTGTACACAGCTGCAAGAAAATCAGTTCTTAAACACAATCTCCCTTTGAGACATTTACATGGGAATTTAATACACAGGATTGGTTTATGCCAAAGTATGTGAAGGCAATTTGCTTAAGGGGTGCCTTCAAAGAGGACCTTTTCTTTGAAGAAATGTTTAGTCTTAGTTTATGTTTGCTGTTTGTAGTATTGATGCATTTATTTGATATTAAATAAATAATCACTTGAAGTTTATTCTGTTTTTTTCTTTTATTTAGAATTTATATTATGGAATTAATGTAGTTATTTTTTTATGTTTTTGTCTAATTATTTCTAGCTTATACATATATTTTGTGTCAGTAAAACTTAATACATAATTGTTAATGAATACTTTTATAATACTTTAAAATGAACATTTTATGAAATATATAGTACAATTTTTTATAGCAATGCTAGTCAAGAAATAGTATTTAAATATCTTTTAAAAAAATTATTTTCAATAATTTTTTGTAATTAACTAAAAGTTTTTATTACTTTAGGAACTATTTATTTCTGAAATCCTTGTTTAGTTTTTTATTGGTAATATCATCTGTATTCTAATTTGCAGTGTTGTGGTACGACACATGTCTTACGTTTGAGCTGGTCTCCCGATGGCCGGTATTTGGTTTCTGCCCATGCCATGAATAATTCTGGGCCCGCTGCTCAGATTATTGAGAGAGATGGATGGAAATCCAACAGGGATTTTGTAGGCCATAGGAAAGCTATCACATGTGTTGTTCATTGTGACTTCCAAGAGAGAAATCTGATTGCATTGATGTTATGCAAGAGAAATACAAGAAAACTTTAATGCAGTCAACCCATTCACCAGAATTTGCACCCAGACCAAATTGCCAAAAGGCAAAAGTGATTTTACCTTTTGTTCATTGGAGACCACTTTTAGAAAAGGAAAGAACTTTTAGACAAAGATATACAATAATAAAGAAAATGTTACAATTACCCTGCCATTTCAGGGTGTTCCAAATCACTATGGTGTTATCCACACTACAAGATGCTAACCAAGCATCCCGAGGGGACCAAGATAAATCCAAGACATCTGAAATAAACATTAGTTATGATAAGTGATACAAGAATATATAACTGGCATGATTTCAAAAGCAAGCAAATCTTATTTTCAATTTGCAAATAATCCATAAAATTTTTAAAACATAAAAATTTAAAAATTAATAAAAATTTAATTACTATTTCTTCACATATTGCAACAACATTTAAAGATGTTTAATTTATTTTTAATAAACTTTCCAATTTTAACTATATATATAGTTAAATCTTTACTCACCTCCAGAGTGCCCTCTCAATGTACTAACACATCTCCAATGCTCAACATTAACCATTTTTCCTCCACTTCCAAAAGCAGTTGAGCCTGTGCCATATCTTCAAAAATAACAACAATGAATTAGTACATATAAAATTACATCACTGTAAGATTGAATGTAACAGTTCTAAACATACAAAAGTTAAGCAATTTACAAGTACCTTCCCCTTCCAAAAAAGGGGCAATACATATTTAAAAATTAATAAACTTTAAATATTAAATGCTCTTTACATCTTTAAATTGGATTTCAATATTTCATGATCTAAATGTTCACAAATGCCTAAATTCAGGGCTCATTTTTAAATGTAATTTTTTTTTTTTTTTTTTTTTTAGCCCAAATTAGCCCAGAAGGGCTATTAATTTCATTTTGGCATTTTGCGTTGAAAACTTTAAATGTTGGTTCACCTTTCAAATTGTTGCCACCAAATATTAGAGCCGCATATTATATTAAAGAAATTAAATAATGAAGAATCTGCATAAATGTATGTATGTTTCTCGCATTGTGATGAAACAATGGTACCTATAACCCAAATTTTGAATAACGTAAGTTTCCACTTGAATATAGACATCTGGAAGCCCGAATTTGGGATTTGTTTTATTATGTATTCCATATTTTGTAAAACTTTAATGAATTTTTTATTAATTCAATGATTTCAAAGCGGGCAGTGGCAACAATGTATGGGAAAAAAAGACACATTTTTATCTCCAGCGCATGAGACTGTGTATAGGAAATTCTAACGATATGCTCATTTTAAAATCATTTTGCGATATTGCCGTTGAACTGAAATTAATGGTTTAAGTGCGAAGAACATGACACTTTATAAATAAAGGTAACATAAAAATAACAAAACGTTAAAAAAAAGCCCATTTGGGTGTAATGCAAAATCTGAAAGCTTCCATTTTTTTTTTTTTTTTTTTTTTTTTTTTTTCAGAACATAATAGAAACTGAGTGAGATCTAAATGTTAAATTTAATATTGTGAACATTTGTTGTGCTGTTTCTGTGATTTATCTCCCTTGTCTGACAGTTGCACCTGTCCTTGGCAAGAGCCTTGAGCACCATACAGGTGACAGCATGATTTTGCTCAATTCTGGCTCGAATTTTGATGGAGAGCCAGCGTCGCTAACCACCCTGGTTGAACGACTTGTTACCATTTAATTTAATTAAATTTAACATCTAGTTTTCTCTACAGCATTTTTATTTCCATGCTTCTTCTACTTTTTTTTTTTTTTTTTTTTTTTTTTTTTTCCCCTTCACGCCACACACTTGGTACTTAAAATTTTTTTCATAATTCATTTTTTTTTTCATTTTTTCACACTTCATATCATTTTCTATATTTTTTGTAAAACAAAAGTATAGAAGAATCTATGCAAAATATACTGATTTGATATTCTTTGGTTTTAAACAGCAATTGACAAGATATTCTTAATTGTTAGCTTTAAATGCATATTTTATTCAAATTACTTTCATCACGATTTTTTAATTCTTAGTCACTACACAAGAAATATACTTATGACACAGAAAATGGTTAATAACCAGAATCTTATTTTAAAAAGCATTAAAAAAACTGCACATAATTTAATAATTTATCTTAATACTTACCTTCCGATCTGCCATATCATCAGGACCTTGTCATCGCCACAAGATGCTAAATATTTGCCACTGCCAGACCATCTTACACAATTTACACAAGCTAAAAACAAAATTGCAGTTATTATGAAAAATAAAGCAATAATAATAGCCACCAGAGTTTACACATGCGCATAAACATGATAATACAAACTTCGTAAGTTACAAAATTAAGTGCAAAGACATTAAAATTCAAAACATTATTTATAAAAATGATGCATATTTATCTGAACTGGGAAATACTAGAAATGTTATGTAGATATATTAAATCTCATGTTAAAAAGAATGGTTAAATAGAAAATCAAGTATATCATTATTTAAAAAAAAAAAAAAAAAAGAAAAGAAAAGAAAATGAAAGAAAGAAAATTTATTTTCAGATGTACTTTCTTCTAGATGCATACTACCAGGGTAAAAATATTTCAATTTAAACAGAATTAGCATTTCAGATTTCCCATTAATGGAATGAAACACTGCCCTCCAAAAATTAAGGAACAGCATGTTTCTTTGTGTCTAATTTGAGAATGAAGTAACACAGAAACCAGAAATTTAGAGAACATGTTCACTAAACAGTTCTTTAATGAATTGGACATAGAATGTTTCTAAAGTTCAACACAAGCATGAATTACAACAAAAAATTGCACTCTTGCCAGAGAAACCCAGTCTTGGAGAAACAGTATATCACAGTTTTTTTAGCAAAAATGGGGTGGTAATACAGTCAAAAGTCGTTAATCCGGACTCGTCGGGACTTCGGCGATTCCGGATTATCGATTTTTCCGGATTATAGATCATCAGTTTAAATCTCGTAAGATGGCATGCAGAAATTCTAAAATTAAAATATGAAACCGTAATTTATGAAATAAAGAACAATTATGATCTAAAGGGTATCAAAATTTACAAAAAAAAAAAAAAAAGCTTAATATTTATTGTTTACTTTATTAAACATTTCTTTCAATGTAAGTTGTTTAAGTTGCTTCGTTTTATGTGATAATACTTTCTCTTTCATTCTATAAACAGACATAATTTCTTGTTCAGTTACAAAGTTCCGCTGTTCAAGTCCCGTTAATTGCTGTGCCGAGAATACCGACTAACTTGTCAATCGAAATTTTTTTGTTTTCACTAACCTCTCTGTCACATTCTCCATGTTTTTATCCATTTTTTGCAGCAATTCCACTTTTTGTTTGTTGGACATCGAAACATACTTTCGTTTTGTAGATCCTTTGGAAGTTCCAGCATCGGAAATTCTGCTGTTCAAGGCCTCTAATTGCTGTGTTGAGAATACCGACTAATTTGTCAATCGAAATGTTTTCGTTTTCAATAACCTCTGGGTCACTTTCTTCACTATCGGAAGCGAATTATAATGACGAGGAACTTGATTTAAATCATATCAAAGACGGAGTACATCGAAATGAAATACTACACTTAGTACGGAATTATAACCAAATAAATAAAAACATCTGCCCTGAAGATAAGGATAGTGCTGAGAGATCAACTTCCAATCCGCGGCGTGAAATTGATAAACAAATTTCGGATTTCAAAACATACTTTCGCTTTGTAGGTACAAATTACATATTAGTAAATATATATTGGAAATTCTAGTTGACATAATCTTTCTAATCTATCATAATCTAATAATGACGTTTCTGCCCCCCCCCCTCTGCCGCAGAGCAGCGTGAAATTGATAAACAGATTTCGGATTTAAAAACAGAATTTCTATTTGTTTTGAAATCAGAATTTGAATCGGAAATTCTATTTGACATAATCGAAAGTTCAAGCTTACTTTTATAAAATTGCTCTAACAGTCTGCAAAAAATAATAAGCCGGATCCAATTCGAAGATTAAGGAACAAGGCAATCTGCAACATTAACTGAATTAGATAACTTTAGCTTAGCGTGTTACACATTAGACGCGCATGCGCACAAACAAATTCGCAGCCGTAAGAGTCTTACGCGCTCTCGTAAACGCCTGTGTGCATGCGTGAACGCGGCGCATGCGCAGAAAGTTTGTAGCTTTGAGGTCCGGATTATGGGTGTCCGAATTAACGACTTTTGACTGTATTACAAAAATGGGTTCTAATAAGGAATGTGTCTATCTGAAATACATTGGCAGCAGCGATGTTCCATGCTGTCAATTAAGTTGTCTGTCAGTGAAATAGGAAGCAATGACCAGACATAAAATAATCCTTGTTCAAGCTTATCTAATGACCTTGGAGTTGCTGCTTTAAGTTCATAAAGCAGCAACCTGTCTCAAAGATGTCCCAAAGATGCTCTATTGGATTCAGGTCTGGGGATTGAGCTGGTCATTCCAGCCGTTTCATACCGTGACCCTCAAGGTATTCTTCAGCAACGCCAGCTTGGTTGCAATCGAATATTGTCATCCATCAGAAGAAATCCAGGACTAATAGCAGCAGCATATGGATGGACATACTGATTAAGGATCTCGTCTCGATACCTTACACCGGTCAAAGTTCTTCCATGGAACAGTGTGACCTCAAAGAGTGATGCCAGCCCAAACCATTGTTCCATCACCTCTGTAATTGCATCTTCTCACAATGTAGGATTGGTTGTATCTGGTGTGTTGTCCCCTCCAGATCAGTTGATGACCTAAATCACTCTGTAATGTGAACCTGGACTCATCAGTGAAGAGAACAGACGCAGTTAGTGCATCATCGAGAGAGTATGTTGAGCTCCAGGAACGATGGAACCGAGGAGTCGGGAGCTGGACTCTAGTGTATCGTCGAGTGCATCACGAGTTGTAGCGTGGAGAGTCTCGAGAGTACCTGAAGTTCCAGGAACGACCGAGCATAGGCGGGAGCTGTACTCTGGTGCTTTGCCGTGAAGCTGTCTCCACCGTTACAGCCTGATAATGTGAAGGCTGTGTCGCTGATTGTTACAGCGTGCGTATAGCAGATCTGTAAAAACATGTTTTGGAGCTCTGAGAATACTGGCCAATAAAGTATGTTTTGATACTCATCAAGTGCTGTTCTCATTCACTCCAAATCCGCACAAACCCTTAATATAACGTAATGGAAGAAAAAACATAACAATATGTTGTGAATTCCATCACCTTTTAATAAATTATTTTCCAGTAAGAATAATCCCTGCTTAAATAATTTATGTCTGTCAACAGTATTTTTAATTTATATAACTCCATGTAAGATCATTATATGACATATTTAATAAGCAGATTTTTTATAATACCGTTCGTACAAATTTACGAATGAATAAGCATTTACAAATAATTACTATCTACATAATTAGAGGCAAATATACATTTCTGAAAAACACACAGTCTGCTCTTGATTACACAGTTAATGGATTATCCGTTCTTAGCAGTACCCACGCTTGCACACTCAAACTCACACTATGTGCGAAATTGAGTTAGAAAACAAGCATGCAGAAGTGCGAGCATGTTCTAAAAACCCTTGAATTGCATCTTTATGTTCAGCTTCAATGATTTATTTCCTCATGCAATTCATTCTGCATTAAGCATAGCTGAAGACATCATTTGAGTCAATCACTGAAATTTTTTTGTTCCAAAGCAGCTGCCTTTTTTTTTTTTTTTTTTTTTTTTTTTCTTAAATGGTTGTTATTTGTACATAAATGTTGATTGGGAAAACACTGATGAATGGTTCAATGATGATTTGACTGAGCCAGGCTTTTGATATTACTTGAGTAATGTAGAAATAATTTAAATGTCACGAGTACGGCAAAAAAGATACCGTAAAATACAAGTGAAGAAGATACTGACAATTGAATTAGTCCTGGAACTGCAATGACTTCTTTTTTAACTCACTGGACTTCGTCGATCAAAAAGGATTCATTTAGCACATATCAGTAATTTTACACAAGAAGCGCATATAAACTGAATGAAAATTTCACGCATTATTTAAATATAATATCAATATATATATATGTTTAATTCCTCATTTTAAAAGTTCTTCTTGACTTACACCAGTGGCCAGGTGTTTAAAAACTGTTGAATATTGTTGCGTGCACTTGGGTTCGTAATAGATTGAATGCACACAGATCCAATGAGAGAGTGATAAAAATTATTTTATCAAAACAACACTTCCGAGTTTTAGAACTTTCCACGGAATACTCGTACAAATGTTCACAGCAATACAGAGTATAATCAGTAGTGACAATTCAAATGACTAAGATTGTTTAACTTAATGCTAAGGAACAAAGCTAAACGCAGCTAAGGAGCAAAGTTAAACTGAAGATAGTACTCAACTCACGCTGATCTAACAGCCAACAACAACACAGAGTAGATGCTCTCACCGGTCTTATAAGCTCTGTTCACAAGAGCAGATTCGACTGGTAGCGAAGACCGGTTCTTCCAACGTGTCCCGTTCACATGGGACAAGCATTAACTGCCTCGCCGAATTGGAGGTAGAACTTGGTTGAATGTTCCTTGCCTCTCGGGAATAGGGCAAATGGGCAGATTTCCCGCACTACTGCACTGCACGATTGCGCGGTTCACTTAATTTTAACAAACAACATAGCTGACGTGCAACTGACTGCTCACTGGACTGTCAGCGAAACAATCGCGCTTGGTAGATATCTAAGGATTCGACATCATACAAAAAAAACTTACATAGAACCGTATGAAGATATGGAAATTATGTAGAACAAGTATGGACAAGGTTATCTGATGCTAGGGTATTCCAGAAATATTGTTCAAATTGAAATTAAAACTAAAGACGGTGCATATCCGCTTCAATGCTAGACAGGGGGACTCAGTACCTTTTTGAATGATTTTTTAATTTAATTAAGCATTTTCATCTACTTTTATGAATATTATTATTAAATGGTTTTCTGAAGACAAAATAATTTTAAGCTGAGAATAAAAAGTTTTTTGCCAGTATTTTTTTAATTTAAATTTTTGAAGAAAAATTTTACGATTAAAACATCTTTTTTCTCCTACAATTTTCAATGTCTCCCCCCCCCCAGTTTTTTTATTGTATTTATTAGAATGTTCTTAATAACTTCAAGGAATGATTTTGCAATTAATAAATTAGTTTCTGAAAAAAAAATAAAAATACACTTTTATCTAAAATCTTTA